CGCGCCGTCCCCGCCGCCGCCCCCGGGCCCCGCGGACCCGCCGGCCCCCGCCACCAGGCGCGCGGTGTGCCTGGTGCTCGGGCTCATGGGCTTCCAGCAGCTGTGCGGCATCAACGCCATCATCTTCTACACGGTCGACATCTTCCAGGGTAGGATGGGGTTGGCCCGCTCGCGCTCATATAGGAGCAGGGTTCGTCGGTCGATGGTACGACGGCTCCCTGCTTCCCCACGACAAACGGCTGCGCTTGCGAGGCCCCAACAAAGTCGAGCTACGGATGCCGTGGAGCATGCAGGCCACGTGGCGTGGCGGCACCAGCAGTGTGCTCTCTTTCCGACGTGCTTGTCCCCGCACCGTAGCCTCCATTCGCAACACTGTGTCACTGAACTCTCCCAATGGAACAAATCTAACCCCCTTTCCCTTAACGTTTTGTTTCGTGGGACGATTTGATTTGTACACGATGATTTAAAGTACACTGATTAACTAAGTGTGCAACTATGAGTTGAATACTTGTAAGTGCTCAACTCCGTAGTTGTACACTTACAAGTTTTCATCTTGGTAGCTGTGCACTTGTGAGTGTGCAACTAATCCGTTGAACACTTCCTTTGATTGTTGGACGCTTGCTGCGTGGAAAGTGCTCAACAGAGGAGTTGCACACTTGCAAAGTGCACAGCTACCGAGTTGAACACTTGCAAGTGTACTACTACGGAGTTGAAACACACTGAGAAGTTTTTTTGGTCCTGAGCACTAAAAATTTTGTCCGGAGACCGAAAGTTTGGACGCACTAAAGAGTTTTGTCCTCGGCACCAAAGTTTTGCTGCAGAGCTTCAAAATTTTGTTGCCACGCACAATAATTTTAGTAGCCGAAAGTAACTTTTTTGTGCCAGGAACAAAGTAGGACGCATTAAGGGGGCAGACCTGTGAAATACAAGGGTTTGGGAGATATTTTATTTTTAAAAAACTACGAATCGCAGCTATATAAACGAAAGACCCTTTTCATAAGAATGAATTGGGCTACAGTTTGGCGTATGCACATATAGTGCCCACCTCCGGGAACCCGGTCTTCTTGGCCTCGAAGTGGACGGTTGCACCTCGACGTGGCGTGCACGATTTGGACCGAACAGATGGACCTGCGACAGCGACAAAAAATGTTATTTACTCTTAGAAGATGCGGCTATCGCATGACGAGAGCGATTTTGAAATTTTTAATTTTTAATATTTTTTTAAAAATGTCAAAGTTTTGGTAAAAAAAAATGGTTCAAAATTTGAACACATTTTGCCCATTTTCGATACCTTAGAAGTGAAATGTCGAAAAACGCTCTCGTCACGCGATAGCCGCATCTCTTAAGAGTAAATGACCATTTTTGTCATTGTCGCAGGTCCATTCGTTCGGTCAAAATCGTGCACGCCACGTCGTGGTGCAACCGTCCACTTCGAGGCCAAGAAGACCGGGTTCCCAGAGGTGTGCACTGTTTGTGCATACGCTTACTTGTAGCCCAATTAGTTCTTATTGAAAGGGTCTTTCGTTTATAACGCTGCGATTCGTAGTTTTTTTAAAATAAAATATCTTCCAAACTCCTGTCGACCCTCGTATTTCACAGGTCTGCCCCCTTAATCGACCGTCTAGTGCCCGGCAGGAAAAAATTTTCTCAGTGCACTTGCAAGTATACAGCTTGTCGATTGTTTCCCTCCCTCTTTCTTATTTTACGCCATGTTATTCTCACTTGTTCGTTTCCTGCAGCGGCGGGCAGCTCGGTGTCGCCCTGGGTGGCCACCATGGTGGTGGGCGTGGTGCAGGTGGCCGCCTCGGTGGTGTCCTTCGCCGTGGTGGACCGCCTGGGCCGGCGCGTGCTGCTGGCGTCCTCGTGCGCGCTGATGGCGCTCTCGCTGGCCCTGCTCGCCGCCTACTTCTACCCGGGCTCCCCGCTGCGCGCCTGGGGGGCGCTGCCCGTCACCGCGCTCTCCGTCTACATCTTCTTCTACTCGTGGGGCTTCGGCCCGCTGCCCTGGTTCATGATGGCCGAGCTGCTCCCCGTCGACGCCAAGGAGTGGGGCACGGCGGCGGCCATCGCCACCAACTGGGCGCTCGTCTTCCTCGTCACCAACACCTTCCAGGGCTTCGTCGAGGCGACGGGCAGGTCGGCGACGTACGCCATGTTCAGCGGCGTCTGCGTGGCGGGCCTCGCCTTCGTCGCGCTGCTCATCCCGGAGACCAAGGGCCGCTCCCAGGAGGACATCCAGGCCATGCTGCAGGAGGGCCGGGTCACCTGAGGGCTCAGTCAACTCCCATTGGCCGTTGGTCGGGTACGAAAGAATGATACGTTGGCGCATGTTGGTGACGTGAGTAATTTTGACGAAAATATTCGAGAAACGTTGTAATATTGTCGTCGTATAACTGTAATATTGCTGTATTATGGTCAATAGTATGAGTAGTACTGATGTAATGTCGACAGGACAGGGAGATACAAGCAAGAAAATGTTACTGTTAACAGTAATTACAAAGTTAACACAACAGCACTAATGACAAATTCGGACAAATTGAATATTGAAAATTTGGAGCATGCAGAGATGCACACGAGAGTTCGCGGGTCATTGTCTAGTATAATAGGCTCCATGAGCGTTTCTCAGCTCCGCTTTCGGGCAGTTGCTGGTGGACTTTGTTCGTCAGGACGCTGTTTTAAATGACATATTTGGGTATATTTGGACATCATTTTTATTATTTTTTATCACAACCCGATGTTAACAATCACAGAGAAGAACAGTTTTCACAATGCTTTTTTTTCAATGTTTTCTCAAACTTTTGTCGTAGACATCCCTTTCGTATAACTTATCAGAAAACAAAATTTCCGTTTTTCATTAATTCCTACTGAGACACATAGAAAACACAGAATATAATTTAGTATCCTTATGTTAATATTTTGAAACACTAAGAAAATCGAGAAAGTGAGTATGGCAACGAGACGCCAGTTTTATTTTATTTTTTGTTATCTGTTTGAATGAAGTTTTGAATACGAATGAATTGAACACAAGTGTCCTACATTTCCCCCCATTTTCCCCCACAATAAAGTCACATATGTAAAGTCGAAAGGCGTCGGGAGCAGCCTCGGGAGCAACGCCTTTGACCGAGTACGGCCGCACTTTGTCGCGCTCGCAGACACAACAACGTGAAACGCGGTCGAGCGGCGCGTGGGCGTTCTGATTGCCCCTTCAAACAAATTAATTTCTTTGCATTTCCCGAATACAATATTCCTCCCTTCCCCCCTACCCCCCTTCCCCCTCTTCTTCTCAATCATAAACTCTCACCCCTTGCTCGGCTCATAGCAGACGAGGTCTCGTCCAGTGCGGCCGAGCCCTCCGGGCCCGACAAAAACAAAAGAGAGCTGCTCGCGACCGCGGGCCTCAAACAAGCGCCTCCCTGGTTTTGGTCCGTGGTGCCTCCCATTCGCAGGCTATGTACAGCAAAACTTAACATTATTACAGGTAGCGCGGCGGAGCGTAGAGCTCCGAAAAAATAAAATAAAATAAGGGGGCACATGAAAGAAGAGGTTAAAGCGGGTATAGTACAGCCGCACGGGCAAGTGATTCCCCTTTTTGCTTTCGGGTTTAACCTGAGATGGCCACTTGGTATGAGCGTGGCGCATTTGTGTTTAAACTGAAGTAAAGAGTATCGTTTTTCAAACAAAAACATAACCTTGTGATATGACATAGCTTTTGGTACTCTAATGCTAAACACATTGAAACATTCAGGTTTAAGTTTTAAGTACACCGTTATTGGATACAACGTAAATTACCTCTCACACAAAACTTTCTGTGGGTGGAGGCGATCGTTGACTACGATACGCTCCCCCACAGCTGCAATCTTACGCACACCCATCCACTCTTCATACTCACAATAATCTTAATCTTGGCGTACATTATATTTACATTCTTGGGGAACACAATGTTCGACAATGCTTGAACTTTAATATCTTATCTTAATTAGTTTTTATCTTAAATTACTTTCATACTCGCCACACTCCTTAATTTTCAGCAGCGGACTAGCGGACTGATGATACAGTTTTACCACTGTAAAATCATGTCCAAACATAAACACACAGTGTATTTAAGTATAATAGAGGGAACGTCTGCCTGCAGTCTAAACATTTTCAATAAATATTATTCTACTCTTGCGCTGAACATAATTATTAAGCGAAGCGTTTCTTTCTGAAAGGCTACTGAGGACGAGTAAATGCGATACAGTACTGATTATTTTTGAACATGATACCGCGGTTGAGCGAAGCGAGGTAGCAGGAGATAGCGAGGGAGAGAGAGAGAGAGAGAGAGAGAGAGAG